TTGTGATGGTTTTATCCACTAAAATTTAAAAATTAAGAAAATGAATATTTAAAATTTGGTTATTTTGATCCTGAAAGCAAGGGATCTCTACATCATTGTTATGTCGTCTGACAGTGGCTGAATGTAATTTGATGAAATAAAGCTAAATGCACATTTCCAGTTAGAACAATTATGCCTTCATATTTTGGCATTCCTTTTCATCATAGTTTTGTTTTGCTGGCAGTGTTAGTATGAAACTGTTCTTTGTCTGCTGCTATAATTAATGCATTCAGTTTACCTATACAATTTAGCTCAGGAAATTAACGTCATCAAACTGAACAGATTTTCAACAGTAGGTTGTCTTATTTAACTAATGTGAAAAGATCATGTTAAATTGTAACGATTTTTTTATTAAAAAAAACTAAAGCTTTGTTTCAGTTATTCTGTCATGTTGCTTGGGCAGAAAAATACCACTACTACAAAGACTTCTATAAGAACTCTTGAGGACAATGGATATTCATTTTTAAAAATGATTTATATAAAAGCACACATTGTTTGGACTATTTGTGAATGTCATGACTGCATAAAACTTTGAATTTGGGCTTACTGTCTTTCTTTGGGTGGAAACACTAGTACAAAGGTAGATAACTTACTGCTTTTTACATGTTTTGGAATATAACAATTATCATCCCTAAATATTGGCCATACTAACTAGGAGTATGGGGTTGTGATTCCAATTCTATTTTATTTTATTTTGTTGTGGGGGGGGGGGTTCCTTTGAGTCAGGGTTGACTCCTAGTGACTGCCTGGATTAGTCCCTGCACTTTTCTAGGCAAAATTTCAAAGGTGGTTTGCCATTGCCTTCTTCCTAGGGCTGAGAAAGAGTGACTGGCCCAAGGTCCCCCAGTTGGCTTTGTGAAAGCAGGACTAGAACTCACAGTCTCTTGATTTCTAGCCTAGTGCCTTAACCCCTACACCAGACTGGTTCTCTTGTGATCCTAAATATCACACACATACTGCTTATTTCTACCCAATAGGCCAAGCCATTTCCTAGCTGGAAATCAGAAGATGATTAACTAATTTTGGAATGATTCAACAATTTGATTTTAAAATGCTATGATTCACACAAGTTTTATCACTAGACATATTTAAAATTAGTTACAGGTACTTTTAGGACATTAGATACCCCAAGATGTATCAATATCTCTGGTGGGATGGGCGGTGACAAATTTGAAATATAAATAAATAAAAATAAAGATGTAATTTAAAATGAAAGGAGTTCCTGATCAACCCATGAGAATTCAAGCTGAAGGCTTACTACTGTTTATCCAGTTAATTTTAAATTCTAAGGCTGTGCAGTCCTTCAGGTTCAAAGGGAAACATTTGGAACATGGATGCACATATAGCACTTAACAGAAATTCCTTACAATAGATGCCTCTCTCAATTTTATTTATTTTATTTACATGTAAAATGTTTAAACCACCTCAATCTTAAAAGGCTCTGTGTGGTGCACAAGTGCAACAGCGACAATCCAATGCAATAATAAATTCATAGAAATAGAATAATTTGAAAATATCTGTATACCTGGCTCCAATGATTTCCTTCCAATCAGGGCCCAAAGGCTTTCCAGAACAGTCATGGTTTTACTAGCTGCTGGATGGCCATAAAAATGGGAGCCATCCTCACCTGGGAGGTGTAAGGAGAGGGAGCTGTTCACAGGATGTTCATTCCTTCAGAGAATGCCTACTTTTGAGTCCTCTCCTGCCATACTTCTCATTAGGTGAGAACCAGGAGGCACTCTGTTCACTTGGATTGGGCAGGCAAAATCTATTTGGCTTAGGCAGATACAGGTAGTCCTTGTTTAGCAATCGCAATTGGGACCAGCAACTCAGTTGTTAAGTGAAGTGATTGCTAAGTGAAAAGTCACATGACTGTGATGGTGCGTATGATTTTACTCCAGCTTTCCTTTGCTTTACAGCATCAAAAGGATACAACCCCAAATCGGAAAGGTTTCAGGAACTCAACTCATGAGGATGCCAGGTAAAAGGGCAAGTCTTATAGCCCTTTTTTCCCACCCCCATGCCCTTTGGAATGCTCATCCCATCTCTGGGATAATTAGAAGAAGAGAATTGATGTTAATTCATTGGAGAGGAAGTGATTACAAGAGAGTAAGTAGACACACAATGAAAATACAGATCACACATACACAAAAATCATGAATGGCTCCAAAAACAAGATATGGCTAAAGAAAACATATCCAGCAGGGTCTCAACCTTCACTCTACCCCAGTGCCTGGGAAAATAGCCAGGTCTTTAATAGCTTCCTGAATATCATCAAGGTGAGAGCCATCCAGATCACTGAGAGGATAACATTCCAGAGGGCAGGTGCTCTGACAGAAGGCAAACTTCCTGGGTCCTATGACACTGCTTTATTGATGGGACCCAAAGGACAGACACTCTGCCTGATTACACTGGGTGGAGAGAGAGGTGGTCCTTCAGATAACCAGGAGGGTTTCATAAAACCATGAAGGGTTTTATAGGTGATAACCAGCACTTTGAATTGCACCTGGAAGTCAACTGGTAACCAGTGCAGCTCTCAGGGTAGTGGGATCACATGGGCATAATGAGGCATGCCCAACACTGCCAAAATCATTGCCTTCTGGACCAGCTGTAGCTTCTGGTTGGTCTTCAAGGGCAGATCCACGTAGAGCACATTACAATCCATTTGTGAGATGACTAGGGGTGAAAGACTGTCTGAAGGGCTTCCTGATCCAGGAAAGGGCACAACTGGTGTGAATGTCCTCTTGTCAGCAGCTGCCACCTACTCTTTGAGCAGGAGCTGTGAGCTGTGAGTCCAAGATGACCCACAAGTTGCATACCAGACTTGAATTGAAAAGTGCAATCCCATCAAAGATGGAAGATCCCCAGAGCCCAGATGCCCAAAGATTTGCGGCCACTCAGTCTTGTCAGGATTGAGCCTGCGTCTGTTCCTCCCCATCCAGACCTGCACAGTCTCCAGCCACTGGGACAAGCCTTTGGCAGCATCACTTGGTCGGCCCAGGGCCAAGGTATATTATTGGGTATCATCAGCACATTGATGATACCTGATCCCAAACTGACAGATGACCTCACCTAATGATTTCATATAGGTGTAAATAGAAGGGGTGAGAGTGTTGAGCCCTGCACATCCCACAAGTGAGGGGCTGTGGGCTCAATCTCTCCTCACCTGTTAACACTGACTGAAACCAGCATGAAGAAAGGAGAACCATTGTAAATAGAAATAAAATCTGTATTCTCTAGTCAATGATAGTCAGACATTGTGCAGACCATCCCTGATACTCCCTATGTAAATTAACATATTAGTCATGGTAATTATTACTGTGAATATTACACACAACATTAGGGACAGAAGGGAAGAAATATGAAGAATACCTAGGAATGATGCTAGTAGAAAACAAGAAGCGAATGCAACTAAACAAAGGTATGATCTCAAATTTGAGTCTACTCTGTAGCAGTAAGGGTAGAGAAGGAAGAAAGTAAGGGTAGAGAAGGTGTAAATAAAGCCCAGCAGGCTTCCTCCTGTGCTCCTGGATCTGGTCTCTAGGATGATATTGGAATTTCCTCATCTTTAGTGCTGGTTGAATTCAGCCTCTGTCTTAGGGGCTAGATCCAAGAAGGCTTGGGAGGCCCTGGCCTCCATGGTGACCATGGGCTTTATCCCAAATGATCTTAAGCCTGATGCTTGATGCTGGCATATATTAGACTTTTGTGCTTCCTTCAGACAATAGTCCAGTGATTATGTGAAGGACATAGAATCTAGCCTTTTGCTCTGGTCAGATCATGTCCTGATGTGGATGAGATTGGCTGCTACCTGTGTCCTCTACAGGGCAATGGGTCTCTTAGAATTGCCCATCCCATGTATCTGATGGATCCAGTAAGATTCCACTTAGAGAATTTCCCAGCAATCTGATGGGCAGTTGTATTGGCTGTCTGGTTAGCCACTGGCAACAGGAGGCAACCTAGGCTCTTGATGTGATTGCTGTTGAGTGGCCTGTATCTGCCAATCACGGTTAGCTCCTTGATTTACTGGTAGGTTTTATTGGTTTGTCATGATTGTTTTTATTATTTTTTGTAACATTGTATTATGGATTATTTTCCTCTGCAAACTGCTGAAAGGTGCGTAATTAGGACAGTTAAAAAATCAAATAAAATTGCAGCTTCTCTAAAGAGAACTTTTTTCTGCTACTTCTGGAAATTGAATCACGTGTAAATTGGTTAGTGAGAATGAGATTCTTCATACATTATGTTATGTTAAAGGCAGCCTTCAGTAACTTAATTATAGACATATCCACAGATTTATCACAATTTTCCAACTGAAATACCCTGTTTAGAGATGCATCTAATCTGGTACTTACAGCATTAAGTGTGATATTCTCTTTCACCTCCAAGAGAACTGTCATCACATATTTCTCAGTAGCTGCCAACATTTGCCTTACTAAAGTAGTAGTGGGGCTACTCCATCTCCAATAATCAAAACAGAAAAACATCTTCTGTTTTTGTTCTGACAATAGCAATTAACATAACAGGCTATAAACAATCCTGATGCCAATTGAACTGTAAGGTATTCCATTTGTAGTTGACCACACATATCGATAGGGATTTTATACTGTTCATGGTTTGCTTAAGCACCAATTGGCTTTGTTTACTCATGAGACTATGCCCTAGTTCAGTGTTTCTCAACCTTGGCAACTTTAAGATGTGTGGACTTCAACTCCCAGAATTCCCCAGCCAGCAAAG